GGTATAATAAACATAATTAACGGTAAAGTATTAGTAGACAGACACTGACGGTATAATAAACATTATTAACGGTAAAGTATTAGTAGACAGACACTGAAGGTATAATAAACACAATTAACGGTAAAATATTAGTAGACAGACACTGACGGTATAACAAACATAATTAACGGTAACATATTAGTAGACAGACACTGACGGTATAATAAACATATTTAACGGTAAAATATTAGTAGACAGACACTGACGGTATAACAAACATAATTAACGGTAAAATATTAGTAGACAGACACTGACGGTATAATAAACATTATTAACGGTAAAGTATTAGTAGACAGACACTGACGGTATAATAAACATAATTAACGGTAAAGTATTAGTAGACAGACACTGACGGTATAATAAACATAATTAACGGTAAAATATTAGTAGACAGACACTGACGGTATAATAAAGATTAACTTACAGAATTTGAATTTTGGCAGCTTTACTTACCTATTTGATTACCTTTGTCTTTCTCAGCGTCAGCCCAAACCACACAGCCTACTCCAAGAAGGGCTACTCCTACTCCAAGGATGTGAACTATTTTATAGCGGACTTTAAGAGCGAGCCACGACAAAGCCAGGACTGTCGGGATGCTAAAGCAGTCCAGGAGCTGTCAGGAAAAAAAAAAGTTCATTTAATCAACAACGTAATTAATAGCTAGCATGGAATAAAATCAGAAGATAATCATTAGGGCATTTCTTTCATATATTTTTTTACTTTATGTATTTTAAGCACGTACATTATTAGGTTTTCAGTTTCATCAACACATATAATCGAGCATGCTCGTCCTTTCAGCCGTGGGGCGTTATAACGTACGGCTAATCCCACTATTAGTTTGTAAAGAGTAGCCCAAGAGTTAGCGATGGGTGGAGTTGACTAGCTGCCTTCCCTCCAGTCTATCACTTCAAAATTAGGGACGATTTGTGCAGATATCCCTCGGGTAGCTTTGCACGAAATTAAACAAATAAACAAAAACGCGAAATATTTATAGGAGACGCAGTTATTTGAGCAATAAATATTAGAATGCGAAGCTTAAACGTATGTAAAAGTTTCATGCAGCATACAATGTCTCTGCCTCTTTCTGAATTACACGAACACCTTCAGTCGAAGTCTGAGGGCCTTATGTTTTGTAGCGGAGAGTGTAATTAAATACTACTTATTTATATATCTAGCTCATTTTTTTTTCTTATACACATAACATTACAGATTGCGCATAATAATTCGGAAACAAACACGTATATAATTGCTCGAACATTCTATATCCAATTAGCGGGGCAAAAATGGCTACAAAATGTTTTCGCTTAGAACAGACTATAATTTCTAGAGTTGTACTCACAACCAATTAATCATGAAATTAGTTTCAAAAAAAAGTCTTCGTGATATTTATTTAGTACAAACCGTAAAAAAAAAAACAACTGTACCAATACTATAATATTTTACCTCACAATCTATTGAAAAAAGAAATACAGAAACGGAAACACACAAAAAATTGAGCCTTTTCGAACTCAATCGCCTTTTTATTAACAGAACTGAAAAGGTTAACACGTATCTGCTAAGAAAATCATGTTATTGTATAGCAGATCCTCGATTTTAATGAGATTTTTAAGCCTGCACGTATAGACGAAAAAAACTGTTTCCTGTAGTTTATCCAACTCAAAAGTCTCAGAGGTCGTTTGAAACAAGAAATAACGTTGTTGTTTTTTCCCCCTCTAGATTCCGGATATATTAGGAGCGGGCTTGGAAAAGAACTGATGTTTTAAAACATATTATCCATAAAATGTACAGTACTGTAGCCCACAAGATGAGGACGGAACATTCCATACCTATCTCAACTGAGATCAAGTTCTTAGATGCAGGAAATATATTTTGAATACCAAGTGGTTTGTTTCTTCTCTATTTAGTAAGTGAAAGTTGAATAGAAATTAATTATCAATAAAAGAACATAAACCAACTCTTAGGGAGGCCGAGTTAAGAGGAGATTATAAACAGAAGTAAGGGGATTTGAAACGGAACCAGGAGATTATAAACAGAAAGTGAGGGGATTTGAAACGGAACAAGGAGATTATAAATAGGAAGTAAGGCGATTTGAAACGGAACAAGGAATTATAAATAGGAAGTAAGGGGAACAAGGAGATTATAAATAGGAAGTAAGGCGATTTGAAACGGAACAAGGAGATTATAAATAGGAAGTAAGGCGATTTGAAACGGAACGAGGAAATTATAAACAGAAAATGAGAGGATTTGAAACGAAACGAGGAGTTTATAATCAGGAAGTAAGGGAATTTGAAACACAATTATATTCTTTAGAAGTTCAATAATGACATTTTTAACGGAGATTTAATTCACAAACACAAACGTTTTGAAAGAAGTATGGTCTTAAATATAATGACTCAATGTTTCGAGTTTAATCAATGTCAAAAACTGTCTTCAAATATTTGAGTTAATGACTTAACTAGAACGTTGTATATATACATACTAAAACGTATATAAACATACTAGAACGTTGTATATATACATACTAAAACGTATATAAACATACTAGAACGTTGTATATACACATACTAAAACGTTGTATGTAAACATACTAGAACTTTGTTTATAAACATACTAGAACGTTGTATATAAACATACTAGAACGTTGTATGTAAACATACTAGAACGTTGTATATAAACATACTAGAACGTTGTTTATAAACATACTAGAACGTTGTATATAAACATACTAAAACGTTGTATGTAAACATACTAGAACTTTGTTTATAAACATACTAGAACGTTGTATATAAACATACTAAACCGTTGTATGTAAACATACTAGAACGTTGTATATAAACATACTAAACCGTTGTATGTAAACATACTAGAACGTTGTATATAAACATACTAAACCGTTGTATGTAAACATACTAGAACGTTGTATATAAGCATACTAGAACGTTGTTTATAAGCATACTAAAACGTTGTATATAAGCATACTAGAACGTTGTTTATAAGCATACTAAAACGTTGTACACAAACATACTAGAACGTTGTTTATAAACACACTAAAACCGTCTCCAAGCATTATTAGTCTCAAAGTGGGTTCCTCGTCATCGAATTTTATATTAAAACATTGTATATAAACATTCTAGAAC